AGAAGAATAATCCAGTGATATTGATATAACTTTTACTAATTATTATATTGTCTAATAATTTAATATTAAATAATTATTTTTCAAAACTTATTATTAGATTGAAAAAAATTTATTCTTAAATTATATAAACAAAATTTTATATTAATTTAATGTGATTTGATATTTTATTCATATAGATCAAAATTAACATAATATATACATTTTAAAATATGTAAAACTATGAATAATTTAAAGATTAAATTGTTACTCAATTTTAAAAAAATTTGACCAAAATATATAAAATAATATAAAATTATAATTTAATGATTGAATAAAAAATTCATATAATATAAAATTATTAAATAATATAATAATTGATAAAAAATTATATCTTGTTTCTCCCATTTAAATATAAAGCTCTTAATTATAGTCATTCCTTGCCCCTACTTGAGTAGGGTTTGATGAAATGCCTTTATTTGGTCGGCTTCTTTAATTATTCTAACACTAGTTTGGACAAACATTGAATTGCCTAGAAATTAAAATACATGATTTCACAACAATATTGTTACCCAAAATTTTAACCCGCTTACTGATGGGAAAAAAATAGAACTAGTAATTGTTAGGTGCAATTAAGTATATACTATTAAATGAATTAATGAAATTTGGATGGAGTTCGTCAATTTAACCATGATGATTAAATTAGGAATTTAGGATGCACACTCATCATGCCAGAATAAAATAAAAAAATTTAATGAAAAGACGTGTAATGAAGCTTTTGGAAAAAAAATAGGAAAAGAGTCGTTCCAAATTTCTCATATTCACAAGATATGCAAGGATCCAAAGGAAATCAATTCGGAAATTTTACTACATATGTCGTTGGTGCTTACATTACTACCTTTAATTGTTTTCCAATTTTTTAATTAGTGTCCAAAGTACTCTTTATATAGTCTTTATGAAAAAAATAGTACTTCAATTTTCTCTGTGTATAGTGACAGAAAGACCCAAAGTTATCCTTAATCAGATAAACTCCTAATCACAATCTACCTCTCCACAATAATATACCAAATCCAACTTCAACATAGCTGAAACACAGTCACATGCAGACATGGTAAGTGTGAAAAAACGTTCACATGATGAAGTGTAATACTGGTAACCATCGCAGTCTCCATGCATAAAAACAACAATCAGTTGCATGCAATTTGTCGTATCCTTGCTAAGTGTCCCAAACCTCGAACTTCAACCCTCCTCTCAAATTAACATTTTATCAACAAAAAAAGTTATATATCTATATAATTAATTAATTATTTTAATAATTTTATTGAATAACATATTTTATTCTAATAAGTTCATAATTTGATACTATCATTCAACATAAATATATTATGAGAGTATAATGTTAATGTAAAATCCTGTGAATGAATCATAGAATGTGAGTGGAAGGTGGATGCAGAGAATGAATAGTAAAAAATGACGAAGAATATAATGGTGTAAATTAATTAACCTGGGGAATAGGGAGGATAACAAAGAGGTCAAAGAAGAAGGTCCTTTTAGCGGTGAGGTAGTGAAGAGCAAAGTAACGTGGCGTGGTGGTGTCTGCGGAGAGAAAAAAAGAGCGTCTAGCGATGTTGAAGTGGAGCCAGATGTTCCAGAAATGCAAAGCGTCGGTCATGCAGCGGAGGACGGTGACGGTGATGAGGAGCCAGGCGTCGACGAAGAGGCACATACACGTGTCACTTATGGAGAGCGCGTAGAAGAAGAGCGGGTCCACGAACAACCCCGTCGCGCACACCAGCAGGAACACCCTGTTCCATTCTTGGACCCACTTCCCTCTCGGTTCCACCGCCACCGCCGCCGCCACCTTTCGCCGCAGGCCGCCGCTCTCCGCCTTCTTCGGCTCCTCCTCGAAGGCGCTGCCGCTCACATTGTTGTTGTAGTCGTCGAGGTCGAGGTCGAGGTCGCTGTCGTTGTCGTCGGAGGAGTAGTAGTAGTGCATGCGTGAAACACGTGAGTCGTGGTGGTCAGGTAAAGTGTGATTGGTGGCCATGGAGGAGAGGAGAGGAGAGTGACTGAGTGAGAAGCATCGGGCGTAAGAGAGAGACATAAATAATTGGAGTGGGAAGGAAGGTGCGTAGGAGAGAGAAGTGGGGAGCGTCCAAGTCCAACAACTCTTCTTCGTATATTATACGTATCAATATCAAATATAATATAATATTACTGCCCACCAATCTATACTTCCACTCAGAAAACCACTACAAAACATACGTATTATAAATCCTACGGTCTGTCATAAAATAATAGTTTTCATATATGATACGCTATTTTTATCTGTTTCAGCTTAAACACTTAATATACTTCCTGTGGAAAAAATTACAAATGTACAAGTATAATAAATGTTATAATATTATCAGAAAAATATCACCAAAAATAATAATATTTTCTTCTCTTTTATTTTCTTACCAGATGGTTATCAAATAGGTTAAAATTTTCATATTAACTATAAATAAGTTCATAATAATATATATAAATAGAGAGAAAGCTTCATCTTATAATAAATTAATTTTATAAAGTGAATTAGGTTTTAATTTATTTATTGAAATGGTATCAAAGCTTATATTTTAGTTGAGTCAACTAGAATTGGAGTATATAAATTTTTTCTTAAAACTTAAATTTTATAAGTTTATATTTTAAGAAAAATTAGAGAGAAGTTAGAAAAAGATTTTCTAAAGCCCGAACACTTTCCTTTATCCTTCATTCCTTTGATTCGTCTTCATTTTCTCATAGCTAATTGAAATAGTTTGTTGGTGATTCACAAACTTGTGGAGCTAAAGTTCTTGAGTCGAAGTTGTGTGACTTCATTTCCTCCATTTGCTTCATGTTTAGGAAGATAAGATGATGATTTTCATTGTTGTGGTGGTTTAAAGTTGTGGATTTTCTCAAAAGTTGTTCATGGAGCTTAATGTTTGATTCTTATGATGGGTTGGTTGTATGTTATTTATAAAGTCATTTTGGTGTTGAATGTGTTTATATGTGATGTATAGCTAGTTGAATGTTGGAATTTGGCTTATTTTCATGTGGATTGACCTCTAATTAGGTGTAAAACTTTTTTTTTTATCAGCCAACAAATATTTATATTATTATATATACCGGTACAAGGAGTACCAAAACCCATATACATAAGATAGGTAGAAGATTATAAAAATTTGTCTACTCACATAAAATCAAATTAACTTTTTAATTGAACCATTTTCTTCTCTCCTTAACACTAATATTGCATTGATCACACCTTCATGACATCAAACATAATTTTAAAAAGGAGTCTCTGTCTTATTTACATCAAGCACACCTTCATGGCATTAAACATGATTCTAAAAAGGGGTCTCTGCTTTCTTGGTTACATCAAGCATAAGATTAGTGACATTAAATATGAGAAGAGAGAATCATCTCGAATTGAAATCATGTGTTAGGTGTGGATTGAATAACACCAAACGTGAGGAAAGAGAGTTATATATACATAAGGGTCAATGTTTGAATATATAAATTACACTTAAAATTAGTATACATAAATATTTTTAAATATATAAATAATATTTTGGATTTATAATAAATAATTTGTATTGAAATTTTATTTATTGATTGATAATTTATTTTAAAATATTAATATTTAATTAATAAATAGTTATGATAAATAAAAATTAAATTAAATAAGAAGTTAAAGTATTCCTACAAAATTAAAATAAAATTATCTAAAAATACTCTCATACAAGATAAATCTTTTTATATTTAATAAATAGGTGTTAATATTAGTAAATTATTTTTTTATAGCAGTAAATTATAATTTAATACATAAAAATATATGGGAAATAATAAATTTTTGTTCATATTATGTGTGTGTACAATAATCTTTATATATAAATTAGAATTAATATATTAAATGAGAACATTATTTTTGAGTTTTTAAGATTTTTTTTTAACGGAAGTATTTTTAGAAATTTTTTTAATCTCTTATCTATTTCAAATTTTTAGTTTATTTTTTTAATTAAATTTTAATATTTTTAAAAAATAAGTTAACAAAATTGCATGAAATATTAATTACTAATTGACATAAAAATACAAGATTTATCTTATATGTTGTAAATACTTATTAATATTTGTAAATTTTAATATAACAGTTTATATTTTAATAAAATATTTATTATAATTTTTTGTCGTGTAAATAAATAATTATATCAATAACTAATTCCTGTAAAAAGAAAAAAAAACTGATTGATTGACTACATCAATGAGATATTTATTCTTGATCAATATTTTTTTTCATTTACAAGATAGAGACATGAGAATTTAAAGCTTTAATTAAGGACTCATATGGGTCCATTTAGGGAGAAAATAGTGCGTAGTGAGTGCGGCCGAAGCGAGTTTTGGGGATCCGTTTGAGGGAAAGTATGGTAGGATGCACAACGTCCGTAGAATATATAGATTCACGAAGAAATATTGACAACACGAATTTTTAATATATTTTTTATTGTTAACCAATTTTTTTTAAATTACTAATTAAATTCTTTACTCCTGATTAATATTTAATTAGTATTTAGAGTGTATACTACATAAAATAAATGTTTATTTTTATATAATCACCATTCATAAAAAACAAATATTTTAAGTTTATATCATATCATATTATAATTAAAATGCATAATATTTTTTAAAATCATATTCAAATTTATAATAAATGATTTTTTTTTTTACAATACATGGGTTTGTACAGTGACATAACTCTTCAGCAGTTCAGCATCTGATTGTAGATATGGTCAAGGAAAATGCTTTGCTATCTCATAATAAATTAAGATTTAGGATATGATATATGATTATTTTTAAATTGAAATAATCACACAGTAAAAAAATTTAAGTACACGTATAGACAAAAAAAAAAAAAAAAGATGATGGTGAGAGTTCTGGATATTATGCATGAAATCTTGAATTCTAACGTTGTTAATGTCATAGAGAGAGAGTACTGTGTGCGTTTTTTTAGAGAAAAATTTGTGTTCGGTATCTTTAAAGTATTGTAAGTTTGGCTTTAATTTATAAAAACATTGTTTTATTTTGGTTTGTTTAATTTGATAATACACCATTTTTTATGTTTTTAAAGTTATTTAAATAGCACTTTTATTACTTTAAGGATCAACTATGGTGTATTTTCAAATTAGATAGACCAAAATATTGCAAAAACAATTAAAGGACTATAGTTGAGTTTTAAAATTTTAGAGTGACTAAAAACATATTTTACTCTTTTCTTAACTAGTTGCAAAATTAGTATGTGAAATGTAACATTCTAGTTTGTTAACCTAGGTTAAGAATGAGATTAAGTGAATCTCTAGGTTTTTAAATATAATGTTGTATGATATCTAAATTAAGATGATGTTTAAGTTAAGATGTTGTGTGGAGATCTTGTCTCTCATAAGTGAAGATATTCTGTTAGGTGAATATAATGTTCTTAATTATAATATTCTAAGAGATATTTATGTCAAGATATCGTGTTAGTTGTTAGGAGTTGATCGCTTAGGATTTCACTTCATGATTATGAGTTGGAGACTCAGTGTGAACGAGTAGGAGAAGGTCAACTCATTTTGGTTGAGTTGGGCAATACATAAATCCCTCAAATTTTGAGCTAGTTAGGGTAAAGGAGTCATAACTAAGGTTGTTCCAAGTTTGTGAACATGTTTGGGTTTGGAACGGGGCCAGTTTGGTTCAACCAAGTCAGATGGTCCATTATTGATAGACTATTATAGAAGTTAAAAGTATAATTTACTCTTCAAAATATAATCTCATATAAATATTAAATTATTTATCACACCAACATAAAAATATTTAATTATGTTACCAAAATTTATTATAGATCAATCAACGGTTTATAGATCAATCAAAGAGTGTATTTGACAAGTATTTGAGGAACTTATAAGCCCCTTTGATTAGTTTATAAGTTCCTTTGACTAAAATAAATTTATTTAGTAAGCAAGCTTATTTTAAAGTTTTAAACTTATTTTTATAAGCTAATTGAAGTAGCTTATATTTTTATAAGCTCTTAGTATTTTTTTTGTCTTTCTTTTTATTATCATTAATTTACTTGAAATTATTTTTAACCCTTAATTTTTAATTTAAAAATTATTTTATTTATATGTTAGTGTCTCTCTTTTTATTAAATAAATATATTATTTTATATTAATTAACTGATTTTATCAAACATTTCATTTCAATTAATTAGCTTATAAATTTTCAATTTAACTTCTAATTTATAACTTATAAGGTTTTAATCAATTTATAAGTTAATTTTATCAAAGGCGTCAAAGGAAAAAAAAGATATTGCCTGCGTGACAAAGTAGACCGAATCCTAAGCTCAGTTTAGTCCCGCAAATAGCAAACTAGAAAATGGACCGATGAAAATCCATGTGGAAATAATTTATTCAGCTCTTGAATTATTAACACATCTATATTCAACTTTGATGCAGAGAAAAGAGCTAATAATCCATCTAAAAATAAGGGGAGTTTATTAATTACGAAAAAAGTTAATTATACGTTTTTCACGTGCAATCATGATCAATGTAGTAGTATACAAGGAGGTTAGCAATGTATTTACGTAGAATGTAATGGTTGCACGTTAGACATAAACCTAAAGCTAATTAATGTGAAAAATTATCTTTTTTCATCGCATCAAAGTATACATATTTTTTTTTCTCAACACAAAACTTGCCTTACCAGTTACCACTAACCAAAGAAGGAGGCTGAAGAAGATCAATGTGATGGTGCAAAAGAAAAGGTGAGCGAAGAGTAGGGTAAAAGAAAAACAATATCCGTTGATGGTGGTGACAACTTGAGAATTGCAGTATTATTAGGTTATTAGCTAGGTTTCTGGGATGGTTGTAAAATTGTGTGTTACTAGGTTTTTTCAATGATTAGTGCTATATATATTTTTGGCTTTTATATAATTGTGAAGCATTAATTAACAATATAAAGACCAGAAAGAAAGAAAAAAAAAAGAAGAAAAAAAAAGAGAAAAAAGTAGAAATAACTAACAGTTACAGGTCTAGTCAAAAGATTCATACTAGCCCATGAGGGTCCACCCACTTTAATAATTCCTCTATCTTTTTGAATAAAGGCATGGCATTTTCTTGGCACCAGTGAGAGCATGAGAATGATAGTT